CAAAAAGGGCAGCTTGCATGGGAATGCAGATGGCCTGTCTCGGCAACTAGAGAGTTAATGGTAGACAGATAAATCAGCCTGTGGCTGAATTTTTCTGTCCACCATCTTAAGGGGGAGGTGTCATGCCAAAAGCATGAGTTGGTGTTTGATGTGTGTTGAGATATGTTGAAAGTTGTTTTTTTTGTAAACCTTGGGATGACGTTTATTGTGGTCTTTGATCTGGCACCAGGCTTAGACCATAAACCATCTAGATAGCCATCACCAGAGCTGGACACAAGGAATTGCACAGGGGTCTGCCCACTGAGAAACAACTAAGTTTGATATATAATGAGGGTGCCGGACTATCCAGGCAGTTGAGTTATTTTTTTTTTCTTTTGTCAGCAACTTCTAGGAGACCTATACCATCTAAGACTCCCACAAGAATTCTATATGGGGTAACTACATGTAAGGAATTTCTTGTGTTTTCTCCTATTTTATTTTATGTACTGTCTTGTAATTTGTTATCTGTATGTCATTTATTTCTGTATTTTGTACTCAGCACTGTGAATCCTTTTTGTCAGATTAAATGTTTACTTAATCAGCTTGTGTCTCTGTTCTCTATGAGCTTCACTCTCCAGAGGAAAGCTCAGGTAAACACGTTACCAAAAAGGGTTAACTATATATGTTTTATCAGTAAAAGTAGAACTGTGATACTATAATTCTCCTGTGTGTGGGGTAACCTAAGACGCCCGGGTTTAAAAGTCTTGGTGGTGGCAGTAAAGTGTGTACTAAGGGGGTTAGTGTAGAAGGGATTGCAGGGGTTAATTGAGTGGTTGCTGGGACTAGCAACAGGTAACCAGGGGTCTGGTGTCATTAACCCTGTCACTTCCACACTCTCCCCACTGTCTCGGCTGGGCCTATAGCCCAAGCTCGTGACAGCATCCACACCTATTTAACCCCGGATGTGGCTAAGGTGCTGGTACATGCTCTTGTTCTCTCTCGCCTTGACTACTGCAATATCCTTCCCAGTGGTCTGACATGTTCCCAGATTGCACCGCTGCAATCTATAATGAATGCAGCGGCGAGGCTTATTTTCCTATCCGCTCGCACCTCCCACACCTCTCCGCTCTGTCAGTTCCTGCATTGGCTTCCAGTTAGATATAGTGCTCAATTTAAAATTCTGGTGCTTGCTTACAAGTCTCTACATAATGCTGCTCTAACCTACCTATCCTCCCTAATACACAAGTATGTGCTGTCGAGGCCCCTACGCTCTGCCAAAGACCTACATACAGTTGCAAGAAAAAGTATGTGAACCCTTTGGAATGATATGGATTTCTGCACAAATTGGTCATAAAATGTGGTCTGATCATCATCTAAGTCACAACAATAGACAATCACAGTCTGCTTAAACTAATAACACACAAAGAATGAAATGTTGCCATGTTTTTATTGAACACACCATGTAAACATTCACAGTGCAGGTGGAAAAAGTATGCGAACCCCTAGAATTAGGTCATCTCCAAGAGCTACTTGGCATGAGAGTTCAGCCAACTGGAGTACAATCAATGAGATGAGATTGGAGGAGTTGGTTACACTGCCCTGCCCTATAAAAAAAAAAAAAAAAACACACACCAGTTCTAGGTTTGCTTTTCACAAGAAGCATTGCCTGATGTGAATGATGCCTCGCACAAAAGAGCTCTCAGAAGACCTACGATTAAGAATTGTTTACTTGCATAAAGCTGGAAGGGGTTATAAAAGTATCTCCAAAAGCCTTGCTGTTCATAAGTCCACGGTAAGACAAATTGTCTGTAAATGGAGAAAGTTCAGCATTGCTGCTACTCTCCCTAGGAGTGGCCGTCCTTTAAAGATGACTGCAAGAGCACAGCACAGACTGCTCAATGAGGTGAAGAAGAATCCTAGAGTGTCAGCTAAAGACTTACAAAAGTCACTGGCAAATGCTAACATCCCTGTTAGTGAATCTACAATACGTAAAACACTAAACAAGAATGGATTTCATGGGAGGATACCACAGAGGAAACCACTGCTGTCCAAACAAAACATTGCTACACGTTTACAGTTTGCACAAGAGCACCTGGATGTTCCACAGCAGTACTGGCAAAATATTCTGTGGACAGATGAAACCAAAGTTGAGTTGTTTGGAAGAAACACACAACACTATGTGTGGTGAAAAAAAGGCACAGCACACCAACATCAAAACCTAATCCCAACTGTGAAGTATGGTGGTGGGGGCATCATGGTTTGGGGCTGCTTGCTGCGTCAGGGCCTGGACGGATTGCTGTCATCGAAGGAAAAAGGAATTCCCAAGTTTATCAAGACATTTTGCAGGAGAACTTAAGGCCATCTGTCTACCAGCTGAAGCTCAACAGAAGATGGGTGTTGCAACAGGACAATGACCCAAAGCATAGAAATAAATCAACAACAGAATGGATTAAACAGAAGAAAATACGCCTTCTGAAGTGGCCCAATCAGAGTCCTGACCTCAACCCGATTGAGATGCTGTTGCATGACCTCAAGAAAGCGATTCTCACCAGACATCCCAAGAATATTGCTGAATTGAAACAGTTCTGTAAAGAGGAATGGTCAAGAATTACTCCTGACCGTTGTGCACATCTGATCTGTAACTACAGGAAACGTTTGGTTGAAGTTATTGCTGCCAAAGGAGGTTCAAACAGTTATTAAATCCAAGGGTTCACATACTTTTTCCACCTGCACTGTGAATGTTTACATGGTTTGCTCAATAAAAACATGGCAACATTTCATTCTTTTGTGTGTTATCAGTTTAAGCAGACTGTTATTGTCTATTGTTGTGACTTAGATGATGATCAGATCACATTTTATGACCATTTTGTGCAGAAATCCATATCATTCCAAAGGGTCTAACATACTTTTTCTTGCAACTGTATATCCTCTGTCCATACTTCCACCTCTGATGCTCGCCTCCAAGATTTCTCCAGGGTTGTACCTCTTCTGTGGAACTCCCTTACCTTCTCTGTAAAACTTTCACCCAGTCTCCACTCATTCAAAAAATCATTGAAAACTCACTTTTTAAGAAAGCATATCAATTAAACTGTTTGCAGGTTTTTATCCCCCACCCCTTATGACTCCTCCCCTGCAACTGTCAAAGATTACCTACTAAGTACCCATACTTTTACCCTTTGTGTCACTATACCCCACTCCCTCTAGAATGTAAGCTCATTGAGCAGTTTCCTCCACCCCTCTGTTCCTGCACTGTACCACTCTGTTTGGTTACAGTTACATGTCTGTTAGTCCACCCATTGTACAGTGCTACGGTACCTGATGGCGCTATAAAAAATAATAAAATAATAATAATATGCAGTAGTGGGATTTTTGTTTCTTAATCTTTGGGTATCTAAAGGTGGGGTCAAGTCAACTGAAGTCTCCGCAAATGAAAGTATGGCCTTTCCTAAGTTGCATGATCTTTTTAAATGCTTTGGTCAGAAAGAACAGTTGGGAGTCATTAGGGGCATACAGAGAGGCCACAGTTATTTGCAGACCACTAAAAGAGCCTTGCAAAAGTAGCAGTCGGCCCTGGGGTTGTGGTATTCAGTGTCTGGTTTGGACACCTAGTCTCTGTGGAAGAGTATGGAAATGCCTTTAGTTTTATTGTGAGAAAGCGCATGGAATACTTGGGGGTATACCTTAAAAGAGAAGTTTGGTGGGTTGTGTTTACAGAGGTATGTTTCTTGGAGACATATGGCAGCTGTTGGTTTATGTATGTCTTGCAGGGTTAACTTTCGTTTATGCGGACTATTCAAACCCTTCACATTAAGGGAGAATATTTGGATTTCAGGGGTCATTGTACCCGCAGAGGATAACAGCTAGACAGACTACCCCTTACTGAAACCTGGCCTGGCACTCCCTAGGCTCAGAGTGGAAGCTCGGATCCCATAGCATGCTGCGGAGTTTCGCAGGAGATAACTGGAAGGAGACCCCATTCCTGGCAGATATGTGGAAAGATTTGTTCAAGCAAAAGAATATTATAACTATAGGTAACAAAGGGGAGAAAAGGGATAAACCAAAGAAAGTATACACATATCACTCTTAGAGAAAAGAGTAACCATTATGGCTGAAGTGGGAGCCAATGCAAAGTATGTCCGCTCCCAAACATTCAGCTCAAGGGGTGCGTACCAATCCGATGACCTAACCTTATTAGACATACGAGAATATTAACACATCAAGAGCTGTGGAACTTGTTACAGCTAACACAATTTTGTTTTTTTTAAATGTTTTTATTTTTGTCATAACTTGTTGTACAGAGGCTAGTTCCTATGTGACTCAGTCAAACTATATGTGGGTCAGTTATTTAGCCTACCCCCGCCAATTACCCACTCGCTGCATGGCATGTTATCGTGAGGGATCCCTAGTAGAGGATCACCTTTATAGCCAATACCACCATATTAAACTTCTGTTAAAACATCTTATATGAGAATAATAACCTATGCGAATTAAAACCAAGTTGGTATATGCAATTATGTTAACTAATATTGTGCACCTTCTATTATAGCCAGTTTAAATTAAAATTGGTGGCTCTATCTATGCGTAACATAGTAGGCTCTATCTATGCGTTACATAGACAGGCAGAAATATACATGGGCCTCGCGGCCGGTTACCAGTCCTGTGTGCGGTATGGACCTGCAACTGCAAAGTTCTGCTTAATTACTTGTTCTTCCCTGTGGGTTAGCTATCTACCATTCCCCTTGCATACGCTTCGGAGAGGATTTCTGTTGATCTCGTGGCTCCGCAGCTCACAGTAGGCCCCATTCTGTCAGCAGTTTGGCTCCCTTCTCTGGCTCCAATATGGCATGGGATCTATTGTTTTGCCATACCAGGATCTTCGTGGGATATCCCACCTGTATTGTATGTTGTGACTCCTGATAGTTTTTGTTACGTTGTCAAACTCTTTCCTCCTAGCCATTGTCACTACAGACAAATCTGCGAAGTGGAGATGTGCTGGTACGGTTCTGGCAGTGATGGGAGTTTCAGTGGAGCCTGAATAAGTAAGTCCTTGAACTTGAAATAGTGAAAGGGGACGATAGTGTCTTTCGGGGTATCGGCTGAGAAGCGCGGTGGACGGGGCAATCGATGGGCATGATCCATATCCACGCTGAGTCTTCCAAGCCTGGGACAATTGCCCGGCGTAACGTTTTCAAATAAGTAGGTAGTTCTTCATTAGGAATTGTGTCTGTGATCCCTCTAAATCTGACGTTATAACTGTCTTCCATATTGGCCATTTTATGTTTGAGGAGCTTGTGCACTGCGGCAAGCCTCTGGATTTTGTCCACTACCTCATTGTGAGCCGCACATAGTTCTTTGGCTCTATTTTCCAGATGGTTTGTTCGGTCACCTATTTCATCCAGGTCTTTGCGCATCTCAGCTGTAAGTTCTTTTAAACCTTTTTGCAGTGTGTGCCTTAGATCTTGTAGCATCATATGTAGTCTCCTCTCTGTCATCGGCTCATCCGGGTATCGGGACGATGTGAGGTCTTGATCAGGCAGGCCTTCTGATGCAGGCGATGGGGCCTGTGCCTCGTCGCCATCTTGGATAGCTTTTTGGGATTCTTTCTTAAAATGCCGAATTGGGTCGGTTAGCTTTAGTTGCCATGACAGACCTGTGTCCAGTGGATGTTCTCTGTCCGTCTTGGTCAAATTAATATGAAAATATACGCTGTTTGAAGCTTCTATGGTCAGATAAAGCAAGGAGCCATGCCCCAATTTAAATGTAATGTGAACTCTTTTCAAATATTTAACATTTTTCAATAACAATACAGAAAAGATAATAACTATAACAAAAACAAGGGAAATACAATGAATGTACATAATCCAATAATACATCATAACTGTATATTAAATCAGTACTGTAATGATAAAATATAGCAGCTGTAAAATTAAATTATCTTGTGTGTCTTAAGAAGTTGATGTGTTTACATAAACAAATAAAAATAAAAAATAAAAATAATGATATTTTACCGTCCGGTCTGGTGTGGGTCTAAAGAAAAAAAATTCAAGCCAAAACTGCTCTTGACGTCCTCCTCCCAGTGTCACAGCAGATTGACAGTAGGAGAAGGTGTTCTAAAGGCCAACTCACATTGCTTAGTTTAAAAAATGTGACATAATACTTCAGTAATGGATGGAATAGTATCAGATTTCCAATATCTAGGAAGAACTGAAGTCATTGAAACTAATAGATGACCCAAAATAATTTCTGTAGATCTGGATACATTTTCTGTGAGTTTCTTCAGTAAAAATTAAATTCTGGTGTGACAGTATGGACCTGGTCTGTAATGGTTTGTATTAGCCTATGAATATTTCTCAAGTAAGTGTTTAGCTTAGGATAGAACCAAAATATGTGAAAGAGTTGCTTATTTGCCCCCACTCCCTCAGACATGTATTAGTGCTTAAATTAGACAAGAGCAAATCATTAATACATATGACAGAATAGGAAAGCCAATATTCCACGTCCAGATTGTTTAATGTAGGTTGCAGCACCAACAAGGTGGTATCTCTGGACCAGGTAGCAGATGGGTTAATTCTTTTATATAATGCATCATAAGCCTTAATGGTGGCTTTGGTAGTTGGACGCATGTTCGACACCCACGAAGAGGCAACTATATCACTTCTTTAATAAGATGAGATAACATTTTCATAGCCACCATTTCAAGCCATAGAGGGTGACCATGTTCCAAGTTAAATTTAAGGGCTATAGCCACATTAGTCAAAGAATAGTAATGAATGATGTTTGACAAAACCATACCCCCACTACGTCTAAACTTTCGTTGCTCTTAAAAAATATAAATATAATTAACTTATCTTGTCCTAAGTCAGCTATGACCCAGACACCAAGGTGCACAGGTTGTGCAATGTCTATTGTTTCTATCTATACCTGTGTGTTTTCCAGTAAACCCAGGTCTGTTTTACCATTCATCAAGCCTGGAATGATGTTTGGGACAAGCTATAATCACTCTAGCTGCTTTGTCCCAGGGGAAATGGACAAGCTAAAATCACTTTGGCTTCTCTGTTCCGGTGAAGGGGTACTTGGCGGAGATACTCAGCGTGCGTATAGGAGCCCACCTGACGCCATCTTGCCCCCAACCCAGGTAACAGTTTTGAGTCGAGTAAGACAAAGTATAGATCTTGGACTACAGGTGAGATATATTTTTTAAGTGTCTCTGCACATATATGTACATGAGGAGAGAGGAGCATACTTGTGCACTTCCTCCCCAATTAATCTGTCAGCTATAAAGGCTTTGAATTACTTTCTTAATGGTGCCTGTATCAAGTGAGGGATTGTAGATACCCATCAAAGAACTACGCTATCCTGAGTACTGTTAATGACTGATTAACATTGTACTTCCTCTGTTCCAACCTCACTCCTGCGACTGTATATATATATCAACTGTACTGCAACTGTCAGAGTATGCTGCTGCTTTTAACAGCAGTAAGTGCAGTGGGCGGGGCATGGTACACTCTTCAAGGCTGAAGTTCTATTCACCATTAAGAGCCATAGATTGTGTCATTATAATTACATAGTATTGAAAGGCTTCCTTTAAATCCACACCCTACCAAAATTGACATCAATAGATATCAAAATAGCATCAGCTCAGATATATAACATGTCAGCTCACAAGCAATCACAACTCCCTGATAAATTAATAAACTGCTTGGTAGTCATTCAATTAATCTTATCTAACTCTGTCCATATTTTAATTTATTTATGAATTTGTTAAATTATAAACACAACTCAAAATTAGAAAAAAAAAGAAGAAGAGAGAAATAATATATACACATCGATAAGGCATTTTCCTAAAAGTGTGTAAATAGTACATATAATTCTGAGCAGTGCCTCTAAACCTCCTTGTTTCAGAAATATAACATGCTTACTTTCATTGAATATCTCTCAATAAAACACCATCTCAAGATCCCCAACATCCCTTCAGTATTAAATGATATAGTGTCAATATTCAGGAACTGAAACAGCAGTCCCAATTATTCTATGTATTATAAATATAATAATACTTATTATTATTATTTAATATATTAAGCATCAACATATTCTAAAATATTATATCCACATGGTAACTGACATATCTATTCAAGTATCTTTGGAAATTGTGTACAAATGTGGATGCTTGAGGGTTACTTTTGTTAGTATTTTGCAGTACCGGTAAACCATTTAACTGCACTACCTGAACTGATCCGTGACTTGCTACCATAGATTTACTTTAACATCGTTCATCTCCCACAAGAAAATCAATTTCCTGAAGGACTGGCATTTAAAATCTAAGGACTGAAGCTAACTTTGGCAGCTGTATTTCCCTCCTGGTTTGAAACTCTGCTCTGTATGTTTCCAGTGATTGCGTGTCTTAACCATTTAAAAAAGATGCAGGATATCTTACCTTAAGGTCATAGTTTTCAGGGCCAGATTTTTCATAAGGCAGGGACACATTAGCAGGGCCGGACTGGCCCACCGGGATACCGGGAAATCTGCCGGTGGGCCGTGGCACTTGGGGCCACACAGTGCCCACAGTACAAACACTTATGTCAGAGCTGCTGGCTGGGAGTGAGCAAGGAGGTATGTCAGAGCTGCTGGCTGGGAGTAAGCAAGAAGGTATGTCAGAGCTGCTGGCTGGGCGTGAGAGGGGTGAGCAGGGAGGCCTATCCAAGAGCTGCTGGGATTAAAGGGACACTATAGTCTCAGGAAAACCGCTTGGTTTTCCTGACACTATAGTACCCTGAAGGTGCCCCCACCCTCAGGGTCCCCCTCCGGCGGCGCTGAAGGGGTTAAAACCCCTTCAGCTACTCACCCTTTTCCCCTGCCAGGCTCCTTTACCTCTCCTCCCCCAGCATCCTCGTCTGACATCACCGTTGCCGAATGTGCATGCGCTGCACTGCCGCATGCGCAAAGTGTCCGTTGGAAAGCATTTTTCAATGCTTTCCTATTGACGCTCTGCATGATTGAGGCATAATATGCCTCAATCATTGCTGACGCGCCTCTAGTCACCCCCTCCCTCTGTCACTAGTCACACCCTCCCTCACTCTATCACTAATCACCCCCTCTGGCCCTTGTCACCCCCTCCCTCTGTCACTGTGTCACTGCATCCCTCCTTCTGTCACTAGTCACTCCCTCCTTAACTCTGTCACTAGTCATCCCCTCCCTCACTCTGTCACCAGTCACCCCCTCCCTCTGTCACTAGTCACCCCCTCCTTCACGCTATCACTAGAGTGAGTGGGTGACTAGTGACAGAGTGAGGGAGGGGATGACCAGTGTCAGAGGAAGGGGGTGACTAGTGACAGAGTAAGGGAGGGAAGGGGTGACTAGCGACAAAGTGAGGGAGGGAAGGGGTGACAGAGTGAGTGAGAGAAGGGGTGACTAGTGACAGAGGGGGTGACACAGTGACAGAGTTAGGGAGGGAGTGACTAGTGACAGAGGGAGGGAGGGGGTGACTAGTGAGAGAGTGAGGGAGGGGGTGACACAGTGACAGAGGGAAGATGTGACTAGTGACAGAGGGAGGGGGTGACTAGTGACAGAGGGAGGGTGGGGGTGAGAGTGACAGAGGGAGGGAGGGGGTGACAGTGGGGGTGACTAGTGAAACATTGGGGGGTGACTAGTGACAGTGGGGGTGACTAGTGACACAGTGGGGGGGTGACTAGTGGCAGAGTGAGGGTGACTAGTGACAGAGTGAGGGAGGGTGTGACTAGTGACACAGTGAGGGGGTGACTAGTGACAGTGAGGGGGGTAACTAGTGACACAATGGGGGGTGACTAGTGACACAGTGGGGGGGTGACTAGTGACACGGGGTGACTAGTGACAGTGGGGGGCTGACGAGTGACACAGTGGGGGGTGACTAATGACACAGTGGGGGAGTGACTAGTGACACAGGGGGGGTGATTAGTGCCTACCTTTCTCTCTGCTCCCTCTGGTCTCCCAGGCTGCTGCTCCTTCACCTTGCTGATCGGGCTCTGTATGAGAGGAGTAAACAGGAAGTGAGGTCACTTCCTAGCCCCGCCTCTCCCATCACACAGAGCTGCGTGGGACAGGAAGGAGACCTGGCAGAGAGAGAGCTGGTGAAGCTGCCAGGTCTCATTTGAGGGGGAGGGGTGACTTGCAGAGCGATAGGTTGTGGGGCCCTGCACTTAACTAAATTGTTTTATTTTATTATTTTTTAGTTCCAGTTGGAGAGATCTCTGGTCTCTTCAGCTGGAGCATGGCTGTGCAGCCGGGCCCCTGGCTGTCTCGGGCCCTCGGTCCATGACCGATGTGCCCTAGTGGTCAGTCCGCCCCTGGTAGGAGTTTATTTGTACCTATTATTGCCATATGAATTCAGTGGTGTGTTTGTATGTGATTTTGGCATTTAAATGAAGGGTTGTATGTAGTGTTGGAGTGTGAATGCAGGGGTGTGTTTGTGTATAGTTTTGGCATTTCCATACTGGGATGTATGGATATAAACACATATACACTGCTGCAAGCATACTAACGGAGATACCTACACATGCACACTGCCACGCACACATATACACGCATGTTCTGACACAGATAAATATACACACTGACACGCACACACAGATAAACACACCTGACACAGGCATACAAACTGGCACATAAACAGAGATAAACACACATACTGACACAGATACACATACACAATAACACAAACATACACAAGTTCTGACACTTAAATCA